ATTTAAAAAAAAATTTTTTTAAAAATATTAATTATTTATAAAAGTAAATCAGAAGAGAATTTATAGTAAATAAGCAGACAAATTTGCCTGCGAAATCCTATAATCTAAGGGATACAGGTCACTGATGATCAGCGTAATAAGATTAATTTCTAACATTGATAATGTAATAATATAATAAAATAACTTCAAAAAATTTTTTAATCCAACTATTATAAAAATGTATTATAAAAACTTACAAATAAAAAACAATCCATTATATTTGCAAATTAAAAAAAATTAAACTATTAATATTAGTAACTTTAGTTTTTAATATAAGGATAAATATAAACAATATTACTTTAATAATTTATACACTTTACTAATATCTTATGATTAATATATATAAAAAATTAGTTAAGCTGAATATTCAAGATAATAATTTAGATCAATATTATTTTATTTGAATATTTAATTTGATTCAATTAAATTTAAATTAAAAAATGATTTATTTAATCAAATCTAAATTAATTTTGATTTGATTTAACCAAATTTAAATCAAGTATTCAAATATTTAATTGGATTTGAATCAATTAATAAAGCTATTTCTAAAGTTTTGAAGGTAATGAAATAAACATTGATAAAAATAATACTGATTATATTTACAATTTCATATGATATATTTATGATATAAAATAAAAATGATATTATAATTACCAAAAAATATCACAATTATATTATTACTTATAATTTAATTATAATTTAAATAAAATTATAAAAATCATCTTTAATATAATCCATGTATTATAAAAAGAAAGAATATGTATCTTTTAGATTATATATAATAAATTATAAAATATATTAAATTTACTTAAATAAATTAATTAGTTAAATTTTTAGAAAATTAATTAAATATAAATTTGTTTATATACTTTATAAGTTATATAAGTTATATTTAAATATAAGTTTATATAAATTATAAATAAATAATTTATAAACAATTTATAATAAAATTATGTAAATTTATAATTATTATTAATAAATAATTATTATTTAATAGGATAATTTTAATTATTATTATTGAATCTTTAATATTTTATATTAAAATCAACTCTAATTCTAACATATTAATATGAAACATAAGAGGCAACATATAAGATATTAATATGAAAAATAATAATATTTGGTAAAATAAGGGAGATAAATAATAAATAACAATAATTTTATCCTTTGGTATAAATTAAATAAATATATGTAATTAACAAATATACATTATTAATTTTGAAATCACTTTATTCAAAATTTAAAATTTTATTTCTAATTAAATAAAAGCTTTACTTAACTATTTTTTTTAATTTGTTTGTTTTTATTTTTATTCTTTTGTTTTTTTTCATAATAAAACAGGTACTGATTATTAATTTTTTATGAATTTGTGAAGGTATTATTATAGACGACTCAAAAAAAAAAAATTCATTTATTACAAAAATAAAAAAGGTTAGATCAAAAATTACCTAATGATAGAAAAAGAAATCGATAATTTAATTTGAGTCCGCATCCATATTTTCATCGTCTTTATCGTTATCACTATCACCATCAAAATATTCATTTTCATGCCACATTAAACGTTTTCTACTTCTAATATCAACAGTTTGATCCTCTCTTGCATCTCTTAATTCTTCATCAGATTCATCCAATAAACATTGTAAATCTCCTGGAAGTTCTTGCATTTGAACACTTGGAGCACCATCCAAGAATCTTAATAATTCATGAACTTGTTGAGAAATTTTTTGTAACTCGGACTTTGTATTAAAATTATCAATTTTTCTTACAAGTGGAGGATGTAATGAAAAATCCGGACCAAAGAAATTATAAAATCGAGTCCTTTCTGGCAAATCAGGTGGTAATTCTGCATCAACTAAAATTCCTGTTTCATAAGTCCAACATCTTGCTACATTGTGAATTCTATATCCACCTCCCCCAAGAACTAATAAAGGAATTTGCCAACTCTTTACGAATCGAACACAATCTCCATGAGCTTTAATACTTATATTAAAGCCTCCTAATCTATCTTTTCCAAGTGAATCTGCTCCGCATTGTAAAACGATAACACTTGGTTGATAATGATCTCTTACATCTGATATTACATCTTTAAATAATGAAAAATAGGTTTCATCATCGATCCCATCCTTAAGAGGTACGTTAAGACAAAAAAATTTGCCTAACCCGTAACCAATCTCGTTTATATTTCCAGTTCCCGGAAAGAAACTACCACTATCATATTTGTGAAATGATACTGTCATAACTCGATCTGTAGCATAAAATGCTTCTTGTACACCATCACCATGATGTATATCAATGTCGATATACAAGACACGAGGATAAAACCTTTCAATGACAAAATTAATTAGATCAAATAGATCAAATATATAAATCATATTGAAATAAATATTTTTGACAAACCTTAATAAATGTTGTATTGCCAAAACTATATCATTCACGAAACAAAATCCCGAAGCTTCAAATCTTTTTGCATGATGTAATCCACCACTCCAATTAATACATATATCAGCCGCGTCTGATGCTAATTGATGCGCTGCGGCTATCGAAGCACCTGCATATATTTGACAAAAATCATACAACCCTTCAAATATTGGACAATCCTCACTTATGTTGAATTTTGAAAAATCCTCAACAAAATCTTCAGAATTCTCTGGTGTCACGTTTTTTAAGAATTTTACATAATCTGTTTCATGAAATTCCATTAATTCATCATCAGTTGCTTTAGGAGGACAATACACGGTCATTCTTTCGTGAAGTCCATAGCTCATAACCAAATCATTTGTTAAAGTCAAACGATGAGGCTTCATTGGATGTTGCAACTGTTTAAAAAATCTGTTTATTAGCAACAGAAAAACTATATATTTAAAAACGTTGTATTCTTGAAAATTCTAACATACACCAAAATGAAAGTTTCCAACATCTTTATGATGAAAATAGGCAACCTTTTGTTTTGAATGTGGTTGTATATGAAAAGTTGCTGATTGAGGAGGTATAGTTTTCTCATTATTACTTGGAAGAAAAGTGGAAGAGAACATATTTTACAAATCTTAAAAAAAAAAATTGATTGTTGCAATCAAGACAATTTTAGGTAATAATTCATGTGCTGTGCTTTTCCTAATTGGTAAACTGCCAAAAAATGTTGATAAAAAATTTTTTTCTTTATTACAAAACCCCATATTATCATAATTCAAACACGTCAGATCGAATTATCATATTGAAAAATTAACAAGGGAAAAAAGAATGTTCGAAGTAAAACGAGGAAGACAAGTGTACAAGAATTAGGACTTTCGTATACTATGCGAAATTCTCAGGATTACGATCAACTCGTGCGATATAAGTATTGGAAGAAAATTAATTCAAAAAGCTTATGCAGTCAGTTTATTGCATTTTTACATTGGGCTGAATTATAATATATATTTCGTAATGCCGAACACGATATTCTGAATTCTTTCTTGAGTCAGTTTCATAGCGTTTCAGACGACTCTGATATGTAAATTATCACAGCTCAAGTATTTTCACGAATCCGATGTAAGAGGGAAAGTCTCAAAATAATTCTATTGTCTAGCGCATTAGTAATATTGTTACAAAGTCCTAGTGGAAATTACGTATATCTCCGTTTGGTATTAAGAGGTCTTACCATAAGAATTTGCACTATGCAAACGCGTCGACTACAAATTCTATGACCAATTTCTAGATCCATTTTACCCATCTATTTCAGCTCATTTGTCAATAATAAAAATTCGTTTCTTATATCGTGAAATTGTGAAATGGTTTTTGCTCCTTCCACGGTCTCATCTTGATTGTTGGTTCAATGTGAAAATACTGGTAACCGTTTAAAAAATATCAGCTTTTGGTTATCACTTGACGATGTGCCAAACAGAATTTTAATGGAATGTGTGGAGATGAGAATCACAGATCAAACAGAGGACGACTTTCTCAGTTATATTACATACCATGTCTATTGATATTTCAGAACAAGACATCATGATTTAGTTAAATGTTAGAAAGTCGATTGACAGTGCGCTACCAAAAAATTTTGTCACATATCAAGCTCCATAACACGTGAATTATCGAATCGAAGAAAAGTAGATATTAGCCACCATATGTTTCTGAGGAAATAAATATATTAAGTAGATCGATTACAAAAGAAAAGAGAGTATTTATAATGAAGGATTAAACAAAAGCTACCGAAGTAATAAATTGATGATTTGATTTTGATTTCAATTAATAATTAAAATGATGAAATGAATTAATTAATATTGTTATTATTATTATTATTTTTATATTATAATAATTTTGAGATTAAGATCAAACTTACTAATAAACTATTATCGTTATATTTAATGAGGTTTGAATCATTGACAAATCCTTCAATGAAGGAAACTAGGGAAACGTGAAAATAAATGCACTGTTTTTTTAGTACGTTACTAATTCGTGATGATTTTTTAGATGCACGTAATTTATTTTTAAAAATACTATAAATTTCCTTAATTGTTAATAATTATTAATTAATGGTAGATCGGATCGAATAGGACCAATATTCTTTGAATGATAAAAAAGGTGTGTTGATCGAAATGTTATAGTCATAATGAAATATTGTTTTTTAATACTTTAATATCAATCAGCAATTCGGCCTTATACATCAAGAAAAAAAATTTTAACATTTATGATCTCATAACCTTATCTTTTAACACATGAAGAGCATATCAAATACATTAAACTTTGATCACGTGACACGCAATAGAATAGAAAAATTTTATATAATAAAACTATTTCCAAAAAAAAAGGGAGATGTGTTAGAAAGTCGCTCCCTCGCATAGGGATCTAATTGCCTAATTTTAATGACATTAAAAATAAAAATCCAAGTTAAAAAAGAACTTACCCCTTTACAAAAGAAATTGTAAACAGTGATGCATGTACAAAGTGCAACTTATAAATCTGAAATAAAAAAATAATAATAATAAAAATCCGTTCGCGTTATTTGTTGTTGAAGTGGAAATCTTTTGCTACTCCTGAAGTTGTTTTGTGAGTAACCGGTTATTATTTATTTACATTTTGAAATGAAGAATATCGATACGAACCACTAACACAACAAAATTTATTTCATAAATAATAGTGCATTTATGTCTTTAAGGTAAATAAATATTTAAATATTAGATAGTGTCTAATAAGATTCTCTTAGATTTTGTAAGGGGTATGAATATTAGTGATAACACTTGGTTGATAATGATCTCTTACATCTGATATTACATCTTTAAATAATGAAAAATAGGTTTCATCATCGATCCCATCCTTAAGAGGTACGTTAAGACAAAAAAATTTGCCTAACCCGTAACCAATCTCGTTTATATTTCCAGTTCCCGGAAAGAAACTACCACTATCATATTTGTGAAATGATACTGTCATAACTCGATCTGTAGCATAAAATGCTTCTTGTACACCATCACCATGATGTATATCAATGTCGATATACAAGACACGAGGATAAAACCTTTCAATGACAAAATTAATTAGATCAAATAGATCAAATATATAAATCATATTGAAATAAATATTTTTGACAAACCTTAATAAATGTTGTATTGCCAAAACTATATCATTCACGAAACAAAATCCCGAAGCTTCAAATCTTTTTGCATGATGTAATCCACCACTCCAATTAATACATATATCAGCCGCGTCTGATGCTAATTGATGCGCTGCGGCTATCGAAGCACCTGCATATATTTGACAAAAATCATACAACCCTTCAAATATTGGACAATCCTCACTTATGTTGAATTTTGAAAAATCCTCAACAAAATCTTCAGAATTCTCTGGTGTCACGTTTTTTAAGAATTTTACATAATCTGTTTCATGAAATTCCATTAATTCATCATCAGTTGCTTTAGGAGGACAATACACGGTCATTCTTTCGTGAAGTCCATAGCTCATAACCAAATCATTTGTTAAAGTCAAACGATGAGGCTTCATTGGATGTTGCAACTGTTTAAAAAATCTGTTTATTAGCAACAGAAAAACTATATATTTAAAAACGTTGTATTCTTGAAAATTCTAACATACACCAAAATGAAAGTTTCCAACATCTTTATGATGAAAATAGGCAACCTTTTGTTTTGAATGTGGTTGTATATGAAAAGTTGCTGATTGAGGAGGTATAGTTTTCTCATTATTACTTGGAAGAAAAGTGGAAGAGAACATATTTTACAAATCTTAAAAAAAAAAATTGATTGTTGCAATCAAGACAATTTTAGGTAATAATTCATGTGCTGTGCTTTTCCTAATTGGTAAACTGCCAAAAAATGTTGATAAAAAATTTTTTTCTTTATTACAAAACCCCATATTATCATAATTCAAACACGTCAGATCGAATTATCATATTGAAAAATTAACAAGGGAAAAAAGAATGTTCGAAGTAAAACGAGGAAGACAAGTGTACAAGAATTAGGACTTTCGTATACTATGCGAAATTCTCAGGATTACGATCAACTCGTGCGATATAAGTATTGGAAGAAAATTAATTCAAAAAGCTTATGCAGTCAGTTTATTGCATTTTTACATTGGGCTGAATTATAATATATATTTCGTAATGCCGAACACGATATTCTGAATTCTTTCTTGAGTCAGTTTCATAGCGTTTCAGACGACTCTGATATGTAAATTATCACAGCTCAAGTATTTTCACGAATCCGATGTAAGAGGGAAAGTCTCAAAATAATTCTATTGTCTAGCGCATTAGTAATATTGTTACAAAGTCCTAGTGGAAATTACGTATATCTCCGTTTGGTATTAAGAGGTCTTACCATAAGAATTTGCACTATGCAAACGCGTCGACTACAAATTCTATGACCAATTTCTAGATCCATTTTACCCATCTATTTCAGCTCATTTGTCAATAATAAAAATTCGTTTCTTATATCGTGAAATTGTGAAATGGTTTTTGCTCCTTCCACGGTCTCATCTTGATTGTTGGTTCAATGTGAAAATACTGGTAACCGTTTAAAAAATATCAGCTTTTGGTTATCACTTGACGATGTGCCAAACAGAATTTTAATGGAATGTGTGGAGATGAGAATCACAGATCAAACAGAGGACGACTTTCTCAGTTATATTACATACCATGTCTATTGATATTTCAGAACAAGACATCATGATTTAGTTAAATGTTAGAAAGTCGATTGACAGTGCGCTACCAAAAAATTTTGTCACATATCAAGCTCCATAACACGTGAATTATCGAATCGAAGAAAAGTAGATATTAGCCACCATATGTTTCTGAGGAAATAAATATATTAAGTAGATCGATTACAAAAGAAAAGAGAGTATTTATAATGAAGGATTAAACAAAAGCTACCGAAGTAATAAATTGATGATTTGATTTTGATTTCAATTAATAATTAAAATGATGAAATGAATTAATTAATATTGTTATTATTATTATTATTTTTATATTATAATAATTTTGAGATTAAGATCAAACTTACTAATAAACTATTATCGTTATATTTAATGAGGTTTGAATCATTGACAAATCCTTCAATGAAGGAAACTAGGGAAACGTGAAAATAAATGCACTGTTTTTTTAGTACGTTACTAATTCGTGATGATTTTTTAGATGCACGTAATTTATTTTTAAAAATACTATAAATTTCCTTAATTGTTAATAATTATTAATTAATGGTAGATCGGATCGAATAGGACCAATATTCTTTGAATGATAAAAAAGGTGTGTTGATCGAAATGTTATAGTCATAATGAAATATTGTTTTTTAATACTTTAATATCAATCAGCAATTCGGCCTTATACATCAAGAAAAAAAATTTTAACATTTATGATCTCATAACCTTATCTTTTAACACATGAAGAGCATATCAAATACATTAAACTTTGATCACGTGACACGCAATAGAATAGAAAAATTTTATATAATAAAACTATTTCCAAAAAAAAAGGGAGATGTGTTAGAAAGTCGCTCCCTCGCATAGGGATCTAATTGCCTAATTTTAATGACATTAAAAATAAAAATCCAAGTTAAAAAAGAACTTACCCCTTTACAAAAGAAATTGTAAACAGTGATGCATGTACAAAGTGCAACTTATAAATCTGAAATAAAAAAATAATAATAATAAAAATCCGTTCGCGTTATTTGTTGTTGAAGTGGAAATCTTTTGCTACTCCTGAAGTTGTTTTGTGAGTAACCGGTTATTATTTATTTACATTTTGAAATGAAGAATATCGATACGAACCACTAACACAACAAAATTTATTTCATAAATAATAGTGCATTTATGTCTTTAAGGTAAATAAATATTTAAATATTAGATAGTGTCTAATAAGATTCTCTTAGATTTTGTAAGGGGTATGAATATTAGTGAATTTTACTTAATAAAGTAATCAAAAACTCTTTTTGACTTGGTCAATATTTTTTAAAAAATATTCATTTTATTATTTAAAAATAGATTTTGTCTAATTTAAATATAGTTTCGACTATTTCGACAGGTTTATTATTCGAAAACGAAGCCAGCCTTATAATATAAATAAATAATATATATATAAATAAAAATAGTAATTTCCTTTTCATATTCTTTTAAACCATTCCTTCTCGGATCGGACATTTAATTGGAGAGTGAAACTTAAATTATAATCTTTAACAATTGATTTGCACTGTCAAATATTGATTAACGGATTTACGCTATCCCGAATCAAAAAAAAAATTAAGGTAATTTATTTCAATCTTCAATCTTTTCCCAGAATAAAACAACATATTGAAAGAATAAAGTAAAAACATCCTACAAATGGAAATGAAAATACATCATTAAAGCTATTAATAGATCAAACAAAACAAACAGTAAATTATGAAATGAAAGTGATATCATCATATGGTACAGCATGAAAATGTTTCTATAAAGAATTTTCCATCAATATTTCTTTCTTTTTTAATTGTGATTACTAAATTAATTGTTTTGTTATGGATAATTCGATCTAGAAGCTAAGGTTACACGCGTCAGAACTAAAGGTTTGAATTTGAATTATTTATTTTTGAAATCTTGGCGTTTTCACTACCACACTTAATCAAAATTAGAAGGAAATATTTAGGCGTGTTCCTCTTTTACTTAAAGTACCGCAAATGTGATGAAATTAATACTCTATAATAAATTTGTAATTTTTAATAACTTTTAATTTGTTCGTTAGGATTTCCCGTTAATGTTGTAAAACATTTCCCTATAATGCTCACAATCACTTGCATGCAAAAATCATGCCTTTTTTAAACGGATATATTAAAGATCTCAACTTTCTTGGTATTTTTAAAGGCATCAATTCTTGCTCATTTATCGCTAGATGGAAGAATCTGAATTTCTATAGGATGTTAAGTAATGATTTGCCATGAGGTAATCGGGTTAAAAGCGACTTATTTTGTGGTCGAAAGCCAAGCTATAATTGGCGGCTTGGAAAGGTCGAATGGGTACGAGAATTTCAGAAACGGTAATGATTTACTAAAATTTGAGATGTATTGTTTAATTGCTGTATCATAAATCTTTGCGACATGTAAAATGATTTGTTTTGAAGATCTCTTGGCCAACATTGGATTTACCTAATTGGGAAAATTCACTGTAATCATTATGTTTAATTCAAGCCTTGGCAATTTCCAAAAATGGTTTAATATTATTGATGAAGCAGAACTTTATGCAAGATTAATATAATGATTTTCAAGAGAATTAAAAAAAAAAATGTATATGAGATTTGCAATAATAAATAAGATTGAAGGGATTTATTGTTTATTTCATGTGTTCGAATAAAAGACCAGGTTATTATAAAAAGAAAATCATTGCAATAAAAGTAAACAATATTCTCCGTTGATTTTTCTTTACTCTTGGCTTAAATGTTTTCAAATGAGAAGAAATTACTCAAGCTTCAAAACTCATTTCTGCGTATAACAAAAAAAATTGAGGACAAGGGAAAGGTTTTTGTCTTACTATTAACAATAAGACAACAACGTGTCTTGATAGCATTGTTTCTTCCTCTTGGCGGTAAAAAGGGAATGATATAATCTTACTGTAAAGAAAATTCTAACGAGAAAATTATTTTTTTGCCAAGTCTAAAATTTTGCCAAGAATCATCCATAATTTTAAGTGTGACAAATGACTTCTTGAATATTCCTTTTTGTTTAATGATGATTTCCTTAATTGGTCAATAATTATCAAATTGTATCACCCACCACTTTAGCAAAAATGGATTTTCAGTTTAAAATTAAGATATACGTTAAAATTTCTTGGCAAAAAAAAAATTCCGCTTTTTCGGTTTATATAAATGTAAGCGATTTGAACAAGACATTTCGATCAGAAAAAAAATTTTAAAAAATTTAAAAAATTAAAAATAAAATAATTTCGAACTATTCAAATTAATACTTTTGATTCTTAAAAACAATTATCTTTTTGACAATCAACAATTCAAAAAAAAAAAAAAAAAAATGTCTTTCAGTTCAATCAATCCACTTTCACCTCCCACCTCCGAAGGAAATCATTCGGAATTTATTTGCCTTTGGAAAAATTGTTGTCGTAACTTTGAGGATGCAGAAACTCTTTATGCTCATCTCTCGACTGATCATGTAGGTCGTAAATCTACTGGAAATCTTTGTCTCAACTGCCATTGGGAGGATTGTGACGTTATTACATCAAAGAGAGACCATATTACCAGTCATTTACGAGTTCACGTGCCGTTAAAACCACATAAATGTGAAGTAAGTATTTTTTTAACCTTTATTTTATTAATTATTTAGTGCTGACAAAAAAAACTTACAAAATTTTCTTTTTTTAATTAGACATGCAAAAAAGCTTTCAAGAGACCTCAAGATTTAAAGAAACATCATAAGATACATAGCGAACAACATCAACTACAGTTAAGCCATTTGAAAAGTCAACGCTTGTCCAAAAAGTTTCGTCCCCCATCTCCTCCTTATTATAATATACGACAATCTTCTCTTGCGTTGCCACATTCGACCTGTACCTTAAAAAACAACAGGATGAAAACCTTTACTCAGTTACCTTCAATTTCATTCTTCTCGAATACAAATCCTACAATTATGGATGTTCAAAATGTTTCATCAATTCCAGCTCAACAAAATTATCCTTCAAGTTTTACGAGTAATTTCTCCTGGTTATAGATCTTTATAAATAATTTTGAAAAAAGAAGGGGTTAATTGTATATAAAAACTTGTTGACAACGAATTTTTTCTTTATTCTATACATAATTTTTATTTCTCATTTTTTTTTTTTTCTTTGCTTTGTTTAATTAATCTTTAATTTAAAATTAGATAATATGCACTCTTTTTTTTTTTTGTTTATTTAAGTCTATGGGTTTGCTGAGCAAACGTTTTTAAATTTTTTTCTTTTTGGAATTCTCTCTCTTTTTTTTTTTTTTTTTTTTTTTAGAAATGCAAATACACTTTATAAGGAATGATAAATACAAATTAATTTCAATTATTGCACAAGTCAAAATAACAGTAAATAATAAATTTTCTTGACACTTTTTATGTCATATAACCTCCATCTGACACAATATACATGTGAATGTTGTTAGGGTGTCAAATGTTAACTGGTTTAAATACCCCTTTTTAAATTGCTTGGCCAGGCATTACTGCTGACCGACGATCCACTCGTGTTTTTATTTGTAAACTACTGTATACTGTATATTCGTGTTTTTTTAACTATATAAATATGTATTTTTTTTTTTAATTTTATCTCAATTTTTTATATTGCTATATTTGTTTAAAACAACTTTTATACAGGTTAGAATGGATTTAATAAATTAATTCACAAACACAAGCTGTTAATAAACCCGTTACCAAAGACGACACCATATTAACCTTTTTTTTAAATAATAATAATAATAAATAATGGAAAAAAATAGATATATGTTAGTACAATTAATTGTAATCCGAGAAAGAAATATCCTTCTCCCTTACCTGATTATTATTTAATAAATTAATGCCGCTAATAGTTTTAGAAACTTTATCGTCTTGACGAGCAATTTTTTGCGATTTTTCATTATACTTTGTGATTTGTACGGTAGCTCCCAATAATGAATCAATTAATGAACCGAATAATCCAGATATTGAAGCAATTAATATTATTTCCGGATGTACGTGACATGAATTTGATAAGGATAATGATATACTCGCAGATAATCCGATTAGAAATCCACCTAATATTGAGGCTAATAATCCTAATGGTGAAATCCCTCCATTTGTACCAGGTGGCACCTTAAGGGTAAATAAAAAAGAGAGAAAAGTTGGTTTGATAAGGTGAGACAAATAAAAAAAAGAAAAGGATCTTTCCTTCCTCTAACAATCATCTTACCCTTTTAAACGTGGTTATTAAGATAGGCCATCCGTTATTAAGAATGCCAAGTTCACTTGCCCACTTGATTAAAAAAAAGTAGTTTTTTAATTAAAAAAAAAAATGAGTTAAATAACAAAGAAGAAAAAGAAGTAAAGGTGTTTACCGTATCTCCATTGCATGTTGCGTTAATCCTTTTTGTTTGAAATAAAATCGACATACTTTAATATTATGTTTATATATATATATATATATATTTTAAAAAAAAAGTAAATCCAATTGTATAAGGTACGATTTATTTACCCGAGGTACATGTAAAAGATGAATCTTGATCCCTGATCACTTAATAAGCATCCCGATAAATTCCCATCACCATAAAAATATTGGTGTATAATGGATAATATTGTTCCTAATAAAGCATTGCTAAATACTTGACTTGCGGTTCTTTCTCCGCCTACACAAGAATAGGAATAATTTAGCACTCGAATTTTATAAAAAATTTGAAAAATTGAATGAATTACATTCATGATATTCTTCTTCAAGTTGTTTCTTTCTTTCCGCTTTATACTAGATGAATAATAAATGATGTGAATTTTGTTATTTTGTTATTTTTTTTTTTTTAAAAAAAAGAATACATCTCATATATGCATACCAAAATAATTTACCTTTGTTAATTTTGAACCGGTTAAATAAAATACTAACAACAAAACGGTAAAAACAAACCAATCATTTCGAAATGTTCCCAAACCAACAGAAAAAGCAGCTATAGCTCCAGAAGTTGATAGAGACTTTTTCCGATATCCATGTAACATAAGTAAGAAACTTAATATGAACGAATATAATAAATTCATAATTATATAAAGATTTTTTTCGATAAAGAAATTTTTGGTGAAACCGTGAATTTATTTAAACCAAAGATGATTATGCTGATCATCCCGAATTTGGTAAATTCTCTTTCAAAAAAGTTCCGATTGATGATTGATGAAGTAATACATAGAATGAATAACATTTTAGAGTTATGACTCATGTTTAATAATGCTTTATGCTTATAATTCGTCATCCATTGTATTCTTTTCCCGCGGTCAAAAACTAATTTTTTTAGGGACTTTTTTTTTCTTTTGAAAATTTGGAGACATTTAAAATTTATTTTCTTATTTAATAATAAAAAAAACTAAATAGTACTAATAATACTAATAATTTCTGCATGATCATTTTATCTATTCCAGCAGTTATATGACCGACCCTTCTGTCTTGAGGTTAGAATTGTTGAGATATTAATAGGCATAATTTATAATGAACGGACCATTTATTGAGTTGACCCTTTTCTTTTAAAAAAAAAAATAAAATAAATAAAAATAAATAAAAAAAAGTTGCAAAATGCGTTTTTTTACTATCCCGGATGTTATCAATTCATATTTATAAATTATATACGCGAATAGTTATAATAAGATCGTGTTGCGTTGATTTACTTTATCGCAGGTACTATCTGTAAAATCAGCACTTTGAAGCAACAATAAAACTTACGGTTCGCCTCATATTACTGCTTTTCTAGCTTGATGTTTTCTATCCATGTAAATGGTTGAGGTTTTATCCAAGTCCGTTGTGCCGTCTGGTATAAAAGTTTTTTTGCATAAAGACAGTAACATTATAAGTATATGTTCCAAAAGACTAATTGGTGACAATTATGGAAATTTAATTTGATCAGGAAAAAGGTCACCGAAAAATTCGGGTGGTAGAGACGAATAACAGTATATTAAAATAATGAAGTTTATCAACAATTGATTGATGTCTTGATTGTGTGCGAATACTTTGTAATATATCATTAAAATATTTTATAGTTAGAGCGGCGTAAAAAATTAGTTTTCCGGATATTAAAAAGTTAAAATAACTCCGACAATAAAGTGAGTCATATGTAATCATTTCATTGACCGCAGAAATAAATATTCCCCCTTCCCATGTATAAATAAATTTGAATCATTTGTAAAAATATCATTGAAAAGAAAAAAAATAAAAATAAAAATAAAAATAATATCCCGACTTCCTTGATTGCGTTTGAATCTGCTCAAAATTCGTCGTTATAATCCCAATTTGAATTTATTAAAAATCAAAATATCGTTACCTTTTATTATCGCTAATTTTAAAAAAATATCCGAAAGTCTTTTATACGACATTCCTCTCTATTAACTGTAGTCTATAGCATCTCCACTTCCTGTAGTAAAAAGTTTCGCGTTTTTTTTTTTATTTTATCCGTCAAAATTTATACCACCATTTTTTTCTTAAATCAGTTCAACATGACTTCAAATTCCAACTTCAGAGTCAATGACACTTGGTCTTTAACGACTCCTCATGATGACATGAATACGTCTCAGCAATTTGATTTAGATAATTATTTCTCTTGTCTTGACTTTGTATTCGACGATATGGATCAATCAACTATTGATTCGTTCTTTGAGAGCAGGCAAGATGAATGGCTTGAAAGAGAAGAAGAAAGACGGGTTTTTATTATGCGACGACAAGGTTATCACCTGCAGGCTTATAAACGACTTCATCCGAGACAATACAATACAAAATCGTCTTCTTCTTCCTTCTCAACATCATCAACGTATTCACGATGTGTTGAAAGAAGTGATCAATTGCACCATTCCCTCAACTGGTATTAATTCGACCATTAATTATTACTTTATTGATTTTAATGATATTATCATTTATACGAATTCAAATGATCTATTTAACCTTTCAATCGGACTTGTTCAACGACAACAAAAATCATTTTTAAGTTTAAATGTAAATGCTTTTAAGAAAAGATTTGATGATATTGAATGGAACATGGAATCTTATAAAATGAAAAAACAACCAAATGCTGGCGGTGGAAGTCTCTTGTCAGAAATCTTTTCTTGTGAGATTATCACGAGGATCTTGAATGTGGAGTTGTTTAAAACCGAGGTATGCATCCCACTCTCCTTTTCGGAAAACACTCATTCTGGAAAATATTTATATCATATACGTGTGTGTTAATTACCCATCTTATATTTATTTTTACAGATGGAAATCGATTACTTTTTCATAAATCAGCCAATGACCGATTATTTGGTTAATTTTCGTCATCCTTTTAATCAAACTACTACCTTGACACTTGGAGTATCAGTGACCAGAGCGTTCGCATATAAAAGAAGGTACACAAAACTTGACGCGTATCGCCTCTTAACGAAAAAACTTGCAGGAATCAATTGTTCTACAAGGAATATTACGAACGCAAAATTATGGAAGCAAGTTTTACATATCTGGTGCCCAAGTGGAAAAGTCGCAAAGGTTGTTAGGAAGGTTTACAATAAGTTGGATAATAAATTAAAAAGTAATACCGTCGTTATCGTTACAATCGTTAATTGTAAATGGGTCTTCACCAATAAACGATAGAAAATTGCGGTGGAAAATTATTTGATATTTTCTTTATTTTTTCCTAAAATAGCATTTATTGTATATATTTCGCTGTACATGTAAATCAACATTTCTTTCATCTATGTTCAATTTTGGATAAAATCATTCTAATAAATAAAGATTATTAATTATTGAGTCGTTCAAAAGGTTTATAAAGTGCAATTCTTATTGTATATGGAACTTTTCGGAATGAACTTTTTTTATTTTCAAGGCGCTTCCGAACTTTTTCTTTTAATACCAATAAATAGATTTATTATAAACCTTTATCTTGCATAAAATTCTTTTATTATTAGCTTTAAAGGTTTTAAGTACATTATTACTTAAGTGTTATTAATTAAGGCCTTCTTTTTTTTATTTAAGTCTCTGCCTAGTCCTGGATTTATCCTCGGGCAATTCTCGAGTTGGCGAAGCTTCATGGTTACATCACAGTATCGTTGTGAATTACTTCCTCTCTTTGTGAAATGTTCAGGTGATTCTCACGCTGAAACTCTCTAAAGAATCATTCATTTTCGTACCAAAGGCATTGATTTTAGGAGAATGTAATTCGTATTGAATCTCAAACAATTCAAAATATCGGGAGGCAGACATTGAGGACATTTTCAGGAATAGTTTGAACGGAATGAATAATATTATCATGAAATCTATTAAAAGAAAGTATTTGGCTCTTGAGCTCTGCAGATTCGAAGTTTTATCACGCATATAACATCCGCAAATCCGCAGCAAAATCCGGAGCAAATTCCGTGTGCAAATCCATCCCCACTGTGGAATTCAATGAATTCAATGATCACCCAAATACATAAAACTTGATTTTAGAAACCTCAAACAGGAAACAAAAGCGGTTGATAATAATTATATATATATATATATATATACTCTGTATATGGGGCTGGGTAAATTGTTAAACAAACATAATTTTCTTTAATTTCCTCCTTAAACTTTTTGCCTTTTTTTTTATGTAAAAAAAAAAAAAATTCAAAAAAAAAATTTAAATTTCAAAACAAAACAAAAAAGAACAAAATGATTCAACTTACCTCCGACTGTATGGAAAAAATCTTTGAAAATTTGGAATATGAGGACATCCATTCATGCTTACTTGTTAATCGTACTCTGTGTAAATATTCCGTTCCAATTTTATGGAGAACCATTTGGAACTATAATACTTTAATTGCGTCGCTTCCAAACGAATCAAAGAACATATTAAACAAGAATGAAATCAACTTTATAAATCCAAATTCCATCCCACCATTATTCAATTATACGGAATTTATCAAGAGTCTTTCAATCGATGAGATTGATAAAAAAATTGAAAGACTTCTTAAGCATCATAAATCACCAAATATTAACTATAACAAATACATAGTAACTCGGGAGATATTTAAAATGTGCATGAATAAAATTTATTCCCTAAGGGAATTGTCTTTCCCTCATTTGGTAAGATACATTCCATTCACAACTTACCCTGGAGCGACCGAATGTTTGAGATACCTTTCGGAACTAAGCTGTAGTTCAAATATCTATTCGGAATTCTTTTATCAGTTATCACAAATTTGTCACAAGATACAATCTTTGAATATAACTTTTAATAATGTAATTTCGAATGGATTGATACAATTAATTACCGTTCAAAAGAATTTGAAATATTTGACGTTTGAAGGGTTTGACAATTTAGAAGTGGTGATTCCTTTATTAAAGAAACATTCCAACAATTTTTTGGAGTTAAATCTTTATGGTCATCTTCCTATACCTTTGTCATTTATCGCTGATTACGTCAACCTACGAGAACTCGTTTTATCATTTGATCGTCATTGTGGTTTTGAGAATTTTGAAAATTTACAAGATGTTTCCCTCCCTCGATTACAAATTTTGAAATTTTCATACGGGGGTTCAAATCAAGATTATTTGATTAAATTCTTGGAAAGGAATGGAATGAATTTAGAAGAGTTTACCGTTGATGGTACTAATCATGATTCGTTAAATTTGGCTGTAGCCAAATTTTGTCCAAACTTGAGGTCTTTATTCACCATATTTTTGAAAGATGAAATAGAAACTTTAAAAATCATCTTCAACAATTGCCAACAGTTGGAATGTATTAGGGTTTGGTGTGGCGGTAAATATTTACCTGAAGATGTTTTGTTGAAAGTTGTCACAAGTCATTCCCCAAAATATTTTTATGAATTAAAAATGAATTATGAATGTAAAGGAAATCGCCTCTTCATAAACTGGAAATATCAAAATAAGGAGCAGGAAAAAAATAAAATCTTTTCTCATTTGGAACAACAAGATGAACATGAACGGTTGAATGTATGGTTGAATCAGGAATGGTGGATTCGAAAAAGAAACGATCGGTTGTCATTGTTAAAGAATCGAACCGAAAATGAAAGGTCGATAGGTCGAAGTAGAAATGAAATTGAACGATCGGATGAATTGATAATAGGTCAGTCAATTGAACGGTTGAATGAACGGTTAAAAGAACGGTCAGTAGGTTGGACAGGTCGGTCGATTGGTCCAATTAGAAGAAACGAATGGTTGAATGTCCGACGATCGAGTGAATTGCCAGGTCGGTCGATTAATATAGAAAGAAGAAACGAATTGAATGAACGGTTGATAGGATGGACAGATCGGTCCATGGGTCAAAATACAAATGAGTTGTCAAATGAACCGACTTTTCGAGATGAAAATGATAAGGCTAAAGAAGGATTAGAGTCCTTTTTTATAAGTTGGACAAATCGTGTACCAAAAAAATCATTTTCTTTGACTTTTATCAGTCAAAGCTGTTCAATTACAACAAAGTTGGAAGTTAAAAAGAGTATTGTTGAAGTAATTGAAAAGTATAAAGAGCTAGGTGTCGTTAAAAAGTTTGAAGTGGTTGATTTTTATGATTTTGAGCTATAAATATAATATAATAAACTTTTTTTTTTGGTTTGTTCGAGTATAAATTAGACTAATTTTAAAACAAGATTATCTCTATTTATTTATGTAATTTATTCAAAGTAACAATAAAAATTTTATACATATTTGTAATATAAATTGTATGACACTTTTTTTTTTAACTTGAAAGTGTAATATCCGAATGGATGTTCGATCTCTAATAGAAATTAGCTTCGGAACGATTTTGCTTTAAAATCGTCCGAGGAGGTTCATTTTTCGAATCAAATTCAATATCGGAAACTTCCTAAAAGTTCTAGTACTGATTATAAAAACTTGATTACGTGTTATATTCGTTGTTACGTATTATGTATGTCGACAACAAATTCAATATTTAATTATGAATTTCACCAAGGACAGACTGACTTCCTAATCTTCTAAATTGACAAGTAACCTTCAGCAACAAAAAAATACAATAAACAAGTATGCTGCATGCGTCAATGGCAAATATTACTGCGTATAAACTAGTTGTAACTTCGAAAAGTCTCGAAGGGGAAATATAACATAATAAAAATTTACGAAAATAATTGGGGGTTTTTTTTAGGGATTTTAAATTTTAAACCTTAATTTACATTGATTTTAGTTAAAAACAAAATAATCATATTTACGTACATAAATTCTCTCAAATGTGATGCATTGAATTAAGAAACCTACAGACAATTGTTATCATGGTACTGAATATTGGTAATCATTGTTGCGCGTTTCCCAGACTTGGGAACGGTTCATAACACGATATAGAAGGGAACCATTGGCATTAGAGTCATTACATCCACCTGATTTCGATTATTCTCCCGATAGCTTTTGGGAGTTACGTGAACTTATTAAAAGATGAGGACAAGTCAGATGAAAAAGATTTAAATGATACTTATGCGTTATGATAGCTCATCTTCTTTGGCAATTTTGACAATACATGCCTCTTTTATGCTGTCACTCACGAGCAAGTTTGAATCAAACCAACAAATGTCCATTATCATTACATGTATATTGGTCATATTCTACCAAAGACATTCTCTCTCTTGTTTCTGCGTAATTAACAACGGCTAGACAACGATTATTTTATTAGAAAAAGTCAATTCAAAAGTTCAAAAAAGCAGATATGATAAATATGATTTGATGTTGAGACACTATAAAGTACGATATTTTTAACTTACAATTTTGGTCCTAATCGAAATAAACCACAATTTATTCATATGAATCTCTCATTTTTTATTTTTTTTAAAAAGTTTTATATTGTATATTGATATTAACATACAGTGAGACCTCTCTAAATGCACCCCTTGAGACCATAGTGAAAATTTGAAAAAATGTACATTTAAAGAGGGTGTGTGCATTTAAAAGGAGAAATTTTGTATGATCTTTATATACTTGGGGATGTGTGGAATGTGCATTTATAGAAAAAATATATATGCGTGCATTTAGTGAGGGTGCATTTAGAGAGGTCTCACTGTATATTTTTTTACGCTTATTAATTTTATAAGAATCCTTTTTTATTCCTTTTAACGTTATTTTTCCTAGTCCTAGCACGACAACGATTCTAGGTTAAAATGGGCTTATTCATACACAACTTCCTCGCAATCTTATTCGTCGGACGTATTTATGTAAGTATATGATTTATTTAAGAAAAAAAAAAGTGTTATTTGTCTTAATTAAATATAGATTTGCAGGGGAAATCTTTTTTGTTGTGTTACAACTTTTATATAGATCTATTTTTTTTGTCACCAAAATAATTTTTTTTTTTCCTAATTAAAAAATAACACTTCTTGAAAACACTATTAGTAAATTACTAGAGTGGTCAAAATATATATTTATATATATTTTTGATCAAAAATTTTAATTACAGAAAATTATTGGTTTATAATAACAAAGAAAAAAGTGTCAAAAAAAAAAATTACATATTTTGTAGAAATCTAATCTATTATGTAAAAAATTTTCTAATTTTATTTATGCGGGTGCTGATGGTGCATAAGCGGTGAAAGCATAGATGCCACCAGCAATTAATGCGGAGACTGGAACTGTTAACGCCCTAGAAGAAAAAAAAAATTTTTTAAATTAAATTTCATTTCATTCCATCATTCCATTTATTTATATCGATATAAAAGATCTGTTTACCAACTAAAAAAGCAAGAAGCCAATAATTTCCAATTGAGTGCTTTCACATTTCCATTGCACAAACCTATGGCTGCAGTCGCAATAGTAACGCAATGCGTTGTTGAAATAGGGAGACCAATTTTTGAGGCGGATAATACAGTCAATGAAGTGCCCAATTCTATAGCGAAACCACGAGATGGAGAATTATAAGTGATTTGGTTTCCAAGAGATCTCATTACATGGTATCCATAAAGGACAAGACCCACATCAATAGCGAAACCTCCTAAAGCCAATATCCAAAGAGGCACAGAAGTTGTTCCTGATGGTTCAACAATACCAGAATCATAGATAAGAAAAATTGTAATTAAGGGTCCAATCGCGTTTGAAACATCATTTGAACCATGAGAAAATGAGGCGAGTGAAGCGGTGAGAATTTGAAGAAAAGAATATAATTGTTCCGTATTTGGATCGTATTTTGCTGCAGCATCATGCATTTCTATATTATCATGTGCTTTATAATCTGCTACTTCTTTGCTAATACCTCGAGCAACATAATTTCCTATAGCTGTAAAAGCTGCCTGAAAGATGTTTTTTGGGGAATTATTGACATTTTCTTCGGTTTCAATTCCTTCTTGTTTTCCATTTTGATCATCGTTAGTACCTATTTCAGTGTCATTATCAGTATTATCATAACGAGGTCCAATGAATGGAACAACGAAAACATGGTACCATTCGAGGCCAGTTTCTTTTCCAATGATTTTTCTTCTTAAAAATTGTGCATAAAAGAAATAACTGAAGACTGACACGAAAATTGTGACACCCACAATAATAAGTGCAATGACATTAGGATGAAGGTTATCTAACTTTAAACTTGGTTCACCTTTAAAGATGAGGTAAAAGATGTTGATGGCGATTGTGAAGGTTATGTAAATTGGAACAGCGATCAAAGCGCGTCGGAAAGAACTATCTTGATGTATAAGTATCAAATATTTTGCTGTCAAGAAGATAATTGATACTACAACTCCTGCTACTATAGGTGCGATAAACCATGAGACTATTATCTTTGTGACACCGTTAAAACTCCAGTCAACGGCTAGTGAGGTTCAAAATTTAATTAGATTTATTTTTCGACGAATCAACAAAATTTTAATATCAACATATGAAAGAAATTTTTTATTTACCTTTCCAACCATAAGCTGAGATACCAACACCAACAATAGCACCAACGGCAGAATGTGTTGTAGAAACCGGCCATCCTCGGAATGAAGCGAAAATAACCCATGTAGCTGATCCAATTAAGGCGCAAACCATTGCCAACTATATTAAAAGGAAAAGAATAAATCAATTATCCTTCAAAGATAAAAGAATAATTTAATGAAAAAGCATACCATAAGTAAATCTGGATTATCTTGAAATAATGAAATTTTTATGATTCCTCCACGAATGGTTTCGGATGTGTTTGCACCTAGCAAAAAAGCTCCAAAGAATTCGGTAAAGATCGCGATAGTGCATGCTTGTTTCAACGTAAGAGTTCGAGATCCAACTGAACTTGAGAAACTGTTTGCTACATCATTAGCACCGATGCCAAATCCAGCAGCAAACGCAACAATTCCACCAATTATCAAAAGCCAAACATAACTATGAGGTTCCATTGTAAATTTTGTTCCACCAAAATCAAAAAAAAAATGGTTTATTACTCGTGAAAATATTAAATGATTTATATCTGTTATGGTGAAAAAATTATTTTAAAAAAATTAAAAAATTAATGATCAAAAAAAAAAAGGTCCGACTTTTATTTTTTTTTATTTTTACAAACGCAGGAGAAAAATTTTTTATTTGCGAATTTATATAAATTTATTACAAAACACCATTTAAAACAAAATTTTTAAAGTTTGGATTTAGTCGCAGTTGTCCAACTCCAAGCATAAAAGAATTTTTTTTTTATGATGCACATCACTTTTAAAAGAAATCGATTAGCATGTGATCTTTAAATTTTTTTTTTAAAGTTAACTAATTATATTCCTTACTAACGATATAATAAAAGAAATAAATAATATTGTTGAAAATTGTATTTATTACTATTTAAATAATAAAGTCTATGTTTATATTTTTTTTTTATTAATATTAACTTTTATTATAAAAAATATACATGTAAAATTTATGATTTTTGAATTATTGTCCAATTCGTAACGTCGTGACCGATGATCATTACAATATTTATCAACGCAAGCACAATAACGAAATTATCGTGGATTTTATGAAATAGCTAATAATATTGAAGCAAGTATGTTAATATTTAATTATTTCATTATTTTAGTATACTCAAGATCAATAAGTTCAGATATTTATGCTTATTTATTTTTAATAATACTAATAATTTTACAAATGTATAAAAATAATAATATGTATTTTTTATTTACTAGCTTAAAATATATTAATGTAGCTTATTTTGATATAAATATTAAATTCTGCTTAAGATTTGAAAATTAATTTTTATATAAATTACTAAATTAATAACTTTTACTTTTATAGTTTAATATACAATATACTAATTAATATTATTACTTATAAATTATAAGCATTTTTCAGTAGAAAGAGTAGAAAAAAGTAGAAAAAAAGGAAACACTTAAAAAATTTTTTTCGAATTAATATTAAATCTGAATTATTTTACATATTTGACATAAAATAATTTTTTTTTTTACAGGTACTTTCCTTTATATTGCAAAAAACTTATATTAAAAATACAATTAGAATATTATTTAAATATAAATTAAAAAATTAAATCAAAAATATATATTAAAATTTAACTGTTAAATAATTTTAAATATTTCAAATTTGATTAGATTATAACAAATATTTTCTAATTAAATAAATTTATT